TCTGCCCCCCCCCCCCCCCCCCCAGGGCCACAGCAGAAAACAAGAAAATTTTAGTTTGTCACCAGCATCCAGAGTCAGATATTGCAAATCAAGGCAAGCAATCAAAAGGAGACATAAGCAATAACAGTTTTGCTGGATTAAATACAGAGAAACAAAAGCCCCTGAGAACATAAAAATAATCCCCCTTTGCCATTCATATAAACACTTGCTCTCAACGCTCAGAAGACCCCAAACAAAGCCTGAAGTCTGCATAGCAAAACTAAAACCACCAGGAAACCATGTCATGAGAACAGTAGAGATGTTCAAGACAGGTTGAAAAGAGGCAAAGGTTATAAAATGAAAGTGGTGGTAGTGTGAAGAAAGAAATCTTTAACTACAGCTGGCAGCTAATGCAGAAAACAAAACACAATTTGCTGCCTTTGACTTCTAAGTCTGGATGTTGTACAAGTAAATGTTAACCAAGGTTCACACTTGTCAGCTAAATAATTTACTATGCAAACACAGCTCAAGCTGAACACTGCTGCATTCAGAGAAGAAATGCATACACGTTTTCCCAATGTTGTCTCTTCACCACTGCTAGCTCTAAGCTAAACTTTGGGTTTACTAGTGCCTTTATAACTATGCCTTCTACTGTCACTATTTGTGTGCAACTAAATGCAACATTGTTTGCTCACAAACTATATGCCAACAATCACTGCTACAGAACAATAAAGCAGTATACTAACTGTTTTCCCAGTAACTTTTACTTTGGGAGATATCATAAGGCATGTAATAACTACTGTTATGTACACACACTGTTTGAATGTTCATACTTACTGCTATGAGTACCAGTTTATGCTAGTGTTGGCAGATAAGACCTGAGCGAAAAAAAAATATTTGACCCCAAAGAAGTTCTTTGAGCTTACACCCATTTGTTAAAATGAAGTGAAGCTTTTATAACAGGTATCATAGAGGCAAATAATTTTGAACAAGTGGTTTGGGTTTTGGTTACAAGTTAAATTGTTTATCTTCTGAAAGGAATTAGAATTTTAATTAAATAGCAACACAGCAGAGTAGAGACCTCAGTCAAAGACTGAGATCGGCTTGTAAAATCCAGTTTCACTCTTCGTTGACAAAAACCCACAGACATTGAAGTGCTTACTATAGGCAGAATTGCTATAACATACAACAGCTTCCAAGAGCTGAGCCTCCAGAAGACTTCTATTTGAAAGTCAACATTTATATTCCGGTAATAAAATAACAAATATTTTAAAAGACTGTTTTCATACATAGGCACTAGAGATAGCTAGAATCCAAGCCATGAACATTGCTGAAGAATCGATGCTGCTGCACTCATTTTCCAAGGGAGGATATTAGAATACATTAAATTCTACTAATGTCACATGTTGTATTTGCTCTTCTAAGAGAGAAGGCAAAGATCTTTATGAAGAAAAGTTGTTAACTCACCATGAGTCAGTGCAAGTTGTGTAGGAACCCATAAATTTACCTATTATCTCCACTCTGTTTAAACTTTATTTTTCTAATGGATTTCAGTTTTGGGGCAATAGAGTCTTATGGCTAACTTAAGAGCTTGCCAACACTAAACTGCATGCTCCTCAACAGCCCTTTAATCAGTCATACTGATACATACATACTCACCCACCCACTGCTTTTATCCCTGGGTTTGTCTGACTACATGGTGACGTAATTTGGTTCATAAGATCAGCTGGAAAGTCTGTACTTGTGCTACATTTGCTTTTGTTGTTACTGCCTATTGTTACCAGAACTGGCTCATCAACAGGTCAGATGAGCACAGAAACAGAAGAAAGGGAAACAGCAGAAGCAAGTCTCTCTCCCTTTCCACAAGCTACTAAATCCACTTAGACCTCAGGAAACTTCACCCTCTGACCATTTGTTGAAGTTAAGCATGCAAGCACTTTCCATCTATGACCACTGAAAGCCACACACACCTTTAGATAGGTACTTATTCATCTGTAGCTTCCCCATTCTGAATGCCCCAAGCAGCATCTTGGCACTTCTTACTCAAGATACAACACAGGAAACCCTACTACCAGCAATACCTAAAAGCAGATACCCATAGGACACCATGCAAATGAGGAAAATTAACTTTTGATTGCCTCAGAAATGATAGAAACAAAGACCTCAACTTCTCTAAAGGTTTTAGAAACTTCTTACTCAGAGATGCTTCCCACCTATGCACTTACTTTCTGCTACATTCCTTTTTCCAGGTTATCAGAGTAAACAGTGGTAGGCAGTACAGCAACACCCCAAAATTATCAGTTATAACAGTACAGAACAGCAAACCATACCAAAACCGCAGGCTGACATGTCACACCATACTAAATCATAATGCATCATCCTTCTTGTCAGTTCAAACCGGCTTCAGCTGATAGCACTATGAAACCATGAAGTGCCAGGGAAAGGAGACACCATGCTCCTTGCAGATTCTCTGCTTCGAAAGGGGGGACACAACACAACAGAGAAACTCTTTCTTAAGGAAAGGCTCACCTCTTTTCCTTCCCTTCTTGTTTTTTACCCGAGTTTAGGGAACAACTGCACAGTTTGCAACACCCAGGGACTACATTCAGCTCTCCCCCAAAAATATATTTAAAGGGGCTAAAATATATTCCCCAAGTCTGTCTGGGGAGACATGTCTTCCCCACGTGCTGAAACCTAAAAGAGCCACTACATGTGAGGCAACATCGAGTTTAAGGTAGGAAGGTCAAGTAGCAGTTATGCTATATTTATAGGGTCCTGGCAGTTAGGGCAGGAGAGGGATCCCAAACGATTCCTGCCCTTTGTCCTAGAGCCTCACCACAACTGAGAGCAACTCCTCGCCTCCCACTCCACAGGGAGGTAAACAACTGTGGACAGAAAATGAGTAAAAAGTGAAAAACATTCCCTGCATGATAGAATCCAGATTACTCTGATCTTATCAGAGAATTTGGATTTTTTTTTAATCAGTATTGCAAAATGTGTATATAGGCCTACTGGTACTGGACTTTACTCATCACTCTCAGGAGAGAGATCGTGCATACAGTCTGCTGCTGCAAATTATATGCTGTAGGCTCTGAACCTAACTTATTACCCCACAGTAATGTTTCCATTTATCCATAGGCAGACATTTGTGCTAGAGGTAATCGCAACAATGGAAAACAAGATTTTTAGTAAACATACTGGGAAAAACATTGTTTATTAGATCCAAGTAATGAAGGAACCAGTTATCACTTCGAGGGTTTCAAAAGCACTGGCTGATACATTCTTTCAACGTGGACAGCAAATAGTAGTGCTGTGAGAACACAGGATATTTTTGATGTTGCTATACAGTTTTCCACAAGTAATCTTTCCACAGGAAAGCTCTGCATCACGGTGAGGCTTGATATGAACATCCATTTTTTCTTCTTTACTTATACTTCACTAAAAGACTAACAGAAGGCTGAGATAGTTTTCTTAACTATACGTTTATCTTTATCAGTTGTAAAAGTCAAACTGTATACTGGAAGATTTGCAAGTTAGTTGTGGTGCTTCAACAAGTAAATATAGTATTCCTGAGCAAAATAAATCAAACATGTCTAACAGTGCCACTTTTCATGCAAAAGAGGAAATACCTGTGCACATGCTTAGCATATACTTCGTAGTCAGAAACAAACCAAAATACATACTCAGTATTTTCTGAAATACTATTTCTCGGTCAAACAAGCCTAATCCCATGTTGTATGCTGTACAGTCCAAAGGTGTGCTGGTTTTGGCTAGGATAGAGTTAATTTTCTTCCTGGTAGCTGGTATGGGGCTGTGTTTTGGATTTGTGCTGAAAACAGTGCTGATAACACAGGGATGTTTTCGTTACTGCTGAGCAGTGCTGACACAGAGTCAAGGCCTTTTCTGCTCCTCGCCCCACCCCACCAGCAAGTAGGCTGGGGGGACACAAGAAGTTGGAAGGGGACACGGCTGGGACAGCTGACCCCAACTGGCCAAAGGGACATTCCATACCATATGACGTCATGCTCAGCATATAAAGCTGGGGGAAGAAGGCGGCAGGGGGGATGTTCGAAGTGATGGCGTTTGTCTTCCCATGTAACCATTACACATGATGGAGCCCTGCTTTCCTGGGGATGGCTGAACACCTGCCTGCCGACGGGAAGTAGTGAATGAATTCCTTGTTTTGCTTTGCTTGCGTGGCTTTTGCTTTACCATTAAACTGTCTTTATCTCAACCCATGAGTTTTCCCACTTCTACTCTTCTGATTCTCTCCCCCTTCCCACCGGGGGGAGCAAGTGAGCAGCTGCGTGGTGCTTAGTTGCCAGCTGGGGTTAAACCACAACAAGAGGAGATACTACACTTTAATTACATAACAGTGCTGAAAATAATCTCTAAACGCCTGTTTTCCTTCCTTTCACAGCTCCATCATCCAACAGCCCATTAGATCATAGCGCATGTTTTCCATGTCCATTTCATTTTTTATCCTTTCCTCTTTCCTTACATTGTCCTGTCCATCTCCTCTGACTTCAATGCCTGGCTTCCCCCACGTCAGCCCAGAGCCCAGCTGTCCACTTTTGTAACTCCTATTCCTTATGCCACTCTTCAATTCCATCACTCCAATTCAGAAGGAGCACGATACTATTTTAAAAGTGATCACTACAGAACACACAATATTGTACCAAGATTCACAAGCAACAAGTATTCGTAGTGGTTATGAGCTAACAGCAATGCACGATTTGAGAGACAAAGCACAAGAGGTATGAAAGTAACCCTCACAACTTAGCAGCCTGAGGTGTGCTCCAGATTTCAGGGACAAGCAGGATAAAGCAGAACAAACTCTTTTAAAGTTTAAGGGCTAATACAAGAACTAATATCCCATTAGAATTAACCTGAAGGATTTAACTCTTAAGAATGCACGCACAGAAAGTAATATTAAGCTTCAAATCAAGTTTAATATCTACATTTTTATTCAATTCAGATTTTTAAGGAAAATGTGATCTAGCTTGTTAGCCTTGTAAATGCTTTCAATTTTGAAATATTAGAATTAGAAATCATGAATTCACTGGTTCTTGTTTCTACGTCTCCATAGACAAATATTCCTAGTCTATGATCAGACATGTCAAAACATTGACTTTACACCCTAGTATTCACCCCACTTCCTGCAGGGTAGCCAAGTCTGTCCTGAGGGGAAGTGTGTCACTAATATCAACATCCTACGGTCTCGCTCTCAACAGACCATTGATTGATCTGTGGTTCCATATAACAGAGAATAACTAGGTTATATTTAGTCAGATGTCAGAAACACTGCTTTTCCAGACATTCTGGGGTTTCACAGCGGAAATCACTTCTGTTCCTTTAATAAACAGCATTTTCTGTTCACTCTTTACTTCTATCTTGCCATATATTAAAATGAATAGAGTTCCTGTTTCTTTTCATATTCAAACAAACCCTAAAAGAAGTTTAAAGCTAAGTTCATTTTATTTTTCTGAACATTACCTAGTGTGTCCCTCAAGTATTTGAGGATGGACTAAACAAGCTGGGGCTAGAACAAAACTCAGCTCTGCCTGTTGCATTTTCTTATTGTAGGGCTCCCCTAACCTAGAAGCAGCAGCTTAAGGTCCCAAACAACTTTCCAGGCAAACAAGGACAAGCCCAAGGAACCTGGAGGTTGTAAGCAAGGGGGACTACAGCTTAACACTACTATATTGCTCTGTATTGCCCAGTGGTTGACAGAAAATCTTGCTGCAAGTCCTAAGTATAAACAGATTCAAGGCAAGGCTCCATAAGTTCAACGTCAAGTCCATTATTAACTCAAATGCTATCTAGATCTAACCCCAAGGTCATGAAGTCCCTGAACTGCTGTTTCCCACCTTCTGACAGGGTCTACCAGAGGAAGCACCACACTGAACATACCTGTTGCCTATACTCCTCCCCAAGCATCTGCTACTGAAAGAGACAGGATATTAGTCTGCCCCAGTATGTCAGTTACAGTACCTTGATCAAAGGGAAGTTCCCAGTTGACCAAACTATTTTTCACGTAGGAGGGATTGAAGTATTTCCACTGTTCTATCAGTCTAGCCCCAATTTTAAAACTCAACTACATGAAAGCAAACAGGTACAGGAAATCTGTGTTCGGAAAGTTATTTTTCTCACATACATATGGAATACAGTTCCCTGAGACACATTCACTTCTGCTTATTTTAGGATCTCTAATCAACATGCTTTTTCCAGATCCCCAAATAGCCTCACAGGTTTCACCATGTATCTAAAGTTGTATTTTAAATCCTCATAAAAACCACTAAAGTCTTCAGCTTCCTGTGTAACCATCCCATTAAGGCAGTCATAGGCTGTCAAAAAGACAGCAATACCCACAGAGCAAACAATTAAATTTGCTTTACTTGCTACTGGAATCAGACCTCATTTTCACTGAGCTTTTGAAGCTGCAAAAGAGACCTGACACGGCAGAAGTCAGGTCTATATTTCAAAGCTTCTGCTGCAAGAGCCCATGAAATTCTTAAATTTAAGTGCATCAAGGAGATAGTTAAAAGCAGCATGAATAAATAAAGAGTAAATGACCGCAAGCTCTGGTGCATCAGGATATTTTATTAAGAGCTTCATCTTCCAATATTAAATACCTTCATTATTCTTCCTGCAGCCACCAGGATCATATCTGAAGAGTTACATTACTGTAGTTATAATCAAGTTAATGGACTCTTTATTATTTGGTATCTTACTGCTCTACATATATTTGACTTGTACCCTTTCCCACTGGCCATTTTTTCCAGCAAGCTTTAATCATCCAGCATGCTTGTTTAAATGGTGAAGCATCTTTCAGTAAGTCCAATAAGTGAAGTTCTCACCTTCACAAAATTCAGTTCCTTGAGCACACACTTTTTTGTGTATTTGTACAACATACTTTCCTAACATGAAAGACTGACTTCACACAGAGATCATGGAATGGTTTGGGTTGGAAGGGACCTCTGAAGGTCATCTAGTCCAACCCCCCTGCAATGAGCAGGGACATCTTCAACTAGATTAGGTTGCTCAGAGCCCCGTCCGACCTGACCTTGAACGTTTCAAGATGGGGCACCTACCACCTCTCTGGGCAATAAAATACCTCCATTTTGACTGGGAAATACAAGGAAAATTGAAAGCTTTTAAAGTAAACTGATGAAACTACAAGTCACCAGGGCTAAACAACACATAAAAAAAAGTGTTGCTACTACAAAATAAGGACATAAGTTTTAAACAGAACAGCTGACTTAAGCCATAACAACTTTGCATCGTTATGTCAGATTCAGTGAAAAATAAAACCAGCAGATTCTCCAAGGTCCTATCAGTGACAAACTCTGTACTAATTGACAAGATAGGCAAAAATCTCACCCTTAAGAAACTATCAAGAGAACTGAGTTTGACACAGATTACAAAGAACTATGGAGAAGAAAAGAAAAACAACCCACAAATGGCTAGTTTTCATGAAGATTGGTCTTCCTAGAAAACAGCTGTTTACCGGGAATAAGAATGAAGGAATACTTAATAACAATATTGATCTAATACCATCCTCTAACAACACGACCTCAGCAAACTGAGTCTAAAGCCACTTCAATCAAACTGCCAACAGAAGTTTCAGTAAGTGAAAGGACAACAGGAAGAACAGCACGAAAGAGACGCACAGCCAAGAGTTCAGCATCGGGCGGCTAAGGGAAGGGACCCAGGGCTTTGCAGCGACGGAACTGCAAACAAGGCGTTTGCAAAGGCAGAGCACGCATTGGGAGTGAAGCGATGTTAAGGGACATCAAGAAAAACAGGTTCGGAAAGTCCCACCTTACGAGCTGAACAATCCCAATGACAGCCTGACACCGCGTCACTGCTGACAAAAAACAATCCAAGTGAAGCACCAGAAAAATAATCAGCTTAAAATCGACCGGCCAGCTACATTTGTTAAGCTTTCTCGAGAAGGAACAAGCAAGATGCTTCTCCCTCGCTCTCGGAAGCACCTTCGAGGCACCAGACACGCAATCCCCGAAACAGCACACCGAACAGCGCTCGCACCAGCCCTGCTCCAGCCACATTCCCGTCCCACAGGCGCACTACGAAGCTCTTCACGACTCCCCGCGGAAAACTCCCCCCTTCGAAACCCGAGAGAGGGGCGAGGGGAAGG